AAAAGAGACCAGTATTATTACTACTATCTGTCAAATAGCATAAATCACTTTTGGTTTTCCAACCAGAATTACTTTGAAAACACAGGAAAATTAAATACAATAAAGATACCAAAAACAAAAATTGATCTGTCTTAAGATTGTAGACAATCTCACTAATATTTAAAAAGATTAAATTCATTGTGTACAAAACAACAACTAGAATATTAAGAAATAAAGAAATGAGAGAATATGTTTGATTACAAAAATCACACTCGAAATAAAAATAAATAAATAAAAACAGATTTATTTGTTACAAAAACAAAATTAAAATCTGATTTAAATAAATAATAAACAGAATAATAAATTAAACAACTTACTTGATTAATTTCTTTGAATAATTATCTGACAAGTCCAGTGTTTGACACTGTGTCCTTAGACAGATTCGTCCTCTCCACGGTGCTCTTCAGGAATTTGGACGTCTATCTCCCAGGATAAAAATGATCTACTACAAACAATAGCAGCACTACAAATTTTTGCCTAACGAACACACTAAGTGTTTATACTCTCTTTGACAAGAAAATAATGCCCAGCAAATCCAAATGAGGGTTGTCGTATTTATAGATGTAATAGTGGGCTGGTAGTTTTGAATTGAATAGGTATGAAACCTGTTGGTTTTGAATTCAAACAGATTTGAATCTGTTGGATTACAATTCAAACAGATACAAAAATGGGAAGTGCCTTGTTTGGGTGTACAGTAAATCGGATCAGATTATTCCAGTTTTAATACGGGAAGGGCCCTGTTTGGATTTACAGAAAAACCAAAACCAGTTTTAATTTGAATTCTGATTTATTTTACCAAAAATTAAATTAATTCAAATGTTTTTGACCCAAAAAGATTAGTATTGGGCCGGACAAGCACCACCTCACACCACGCACCGCGCCCAAACCCAGCCCAGACGGATGGCGGCGTGCGCGCGCGTGTGGTGATTTTGGTCCAATGGGTCTAGCCCATTTTGCCCATAACTCTCCCTCTAAAACACTTGGGTACCCCTTGGGCACACCCCAAGTACCAAACCCAAGCCTTATAAACCCATTCAAAACTCCCCACCAATCAATGTGGGACAAGTCATTTTACAACCTTAAGGAATTTCACCCAAAACTCCATTTCATGGAGCACACTTTGGCTTCAATTTTCCATTCACTCGGTAATGGTTTTGAGCAACCAAATATACCACCGTGAGTCATAACGCGCATAGAAACGCTTACCACTTTGACCCGTGAAAATCGACGCACGAGGCCCACCTAAAAAATAGACCAAACTTAGGAAAAAATT